GGGTATCTTGTCAAATTAGCAAAACTTTTTCTTTCAGTGCGCGATCAACGACGAGTTGTTATGATTGGGTACGGCATACGAGAAAAAAACTATATATTAACGATTGCTATATAGACAAGGCATCAAGGCATAGATTGCATCAAGGGTCATTAACTTCGTCGCGTTCGCGTTATATATACATATAGGTTTAAGTAGACGTTTGTTCAAGAGAATATACTTCGTCCGACCACAGCGTATATAATTCCGTGTTTGATTAAGCAGCACACCTAAATCCGAACATTTATATTCTCGTATTGGAAATATATATGTGTGTATGGGAGATAATTAGAAGTAATTGAAGTCACAATTATGTATTCATGTCCAAGAATTATTTAATGATAATAAAATTATTTAATGATAATAAAAGATTATTAGTAGTAAAACTGAGTTAATAATAACTCCTCACAGGACGAATTATATCTCTGGGGATGTATATTTGTGCGTGTGTGTGTGTATATATGCACAGCATTACACGCGAAATTCGCGTTGCACGACGTTGGCCCTTTTTACTACCGGTGTGAGAATTAACGTTGAAAAATGACCAAGAATTGAGCGCACGCGCGCATTGTTCCCTAGTTAAGCAGTGAGTATGTCTAACGGTAAACGCTTGTTTATCAAGATCACTTTCGTTACGAAGCCGGTATTATCGGCGAGCAATCACGTGGCTCGGTTACACCCCGATATTCAAGTACCCTCGAATCTTGAAGAAAAAGGCGTCGCGTCACAATGTTGGCCTGGTTTCGTAGCCACGCGATTTACAGCGTCGTTTGTAAGATAATAATACCAATGCCTGGACACGAATAACACTGGTACCTAACTCTACACTGTAAAAATTGATGTGTTAAATTTAACATTTCATGTGTCCCAAATCATCCACTCTCATTTATGCGTAAATTTAACACAAAACAAATGAGGTAAAAAATAACACGCATAATATGTAAAAAAGTTAACATAAAAATGTAACACTTGAATACCGTCAGGAATCACATTTTGTGTTAAATTGACATATGTATAATGTTAAATTAACTAAAATAAAACGTTACTTTAACATTTGAGAGAAGTATTAATCTATGGTTTTGATGAAATAAAAATGTTAAATTGACAATTAATATGTCTGACATATTAAATATGTCATTATTTAACACAACCTGTGATTCCTAATGATATTCAAGTGTTAAATTCTTGTGTTAATTTTTTCCATATTATGCGTGTTACTTTTTAATACATTTGTTATGATTTAAATTTACACATAAATGAGAGTGGATGATTTGGGACACATGAAATGTATTAAATTCAACACACCAGTTTTTACAGTGTAGATATTCTTATTGTTTTAGTTTTTAAATATGAATACTGAAATTTATGCAAAATATATGTATATATTTAAAGTATATCTACATACAATTCTCCATATTTAAAGTTTAAACTTAAAGTTTTACCTTAGATTGATACTTTATAGAAGTAGCGTGCAGATTGTCCTCGGTGGACAAACAAAGGATGGAACGAGCGAGAAATTGCGGAGAGTGCTGGCCATCTGGCGACAACATCACGTCGCGCGATTAAAACGACGCGGTACTCGTCGTGAATTGAAGATAAACACGTTATTTGATCGCCGGGCGATCTGTATTCTCCCCGTAAATGAAACACATTTCGAATTTGATAGATCGCAGCGTTGTAATGCGGATGCGAGCGCGCAAAATATGCGCTCGCGTGTCTGCATTTTTGCGCGATATTCATATCGTCCGCGAACGTGTGTTAGATCGGTCATAATTACATGGTATTCTCGCGACAACGTTCTGTACACAATCCCGACAAGCGGTCCGATTATCAAACATTAATACTATATTCAATTGCACGGCAATATTAACGTTCCTACGTAAGGTGCTTCCATTAGCGTTTATACGTTGGAAAGTTATGCGTTTCATATATTAAACGACGAGCCATTATTTAACGACGTATGATGTATTAAATTCGTCGATCTGCGCAAATTAATTGCACGTTCAATGATTCTGTTATCTATTTCGTTTAATGTTTGCAGTGAATAAAGAGCGAGCAAGCACACCCGCGCATGTTACAAACTAAATTGGAATTATTTATCTGAGGCACGTATATATAATCCTTGCTAACAGATCGAAGCTACATATCAAGATTTAGCGTCGCATATATTTCTGGTGCGTCACATTATTTATCTATCCATCTCAATATCGCCGTATATTTTTAATTACCGATTAATAAATTCAACGATCGTTCTATTCTTTTACTATTTTGAGTGAGTCAAAGATAATAATGAGAGTAACAGACGCCGATTCAACAAGTACTGATTACATATAAAATAGTTATATCAAAGAACGGAGGAGACTACTCACATTACATCCAGACGATCGCAGGTCGCTATTGCCGATACATTCCATACTTATTTCCATATATGCCGAGTGATCTCGGTCGATGTGTTAACGGCGGCGACTCAATGCAAGGAGATCAAAGACGGCCCGTAATTGCTCGCGTATGTGACAATTCCCGCCATGGACATTGTGTCGCTGCTAGATGCGCGTGCTCTATACATCTTTCTCTCTTACTCACAGACCGACGTTACTTCCTGAAATTCGACGTCACGAATATCCCTGACATTGTTTGTTTCTCTTTCCATCCGATTACAGCCGAATTTCTAATTCCCGACAGGAATAAACCCGATTCTATTCTTACTTCAGTGAGACGATAATAGTAACAAGTGCAAGAGATGCTGACACGACATGTCGCGACAAGCGGCTGCATCATCAATAAATGAGATTATTCCCTAATAAACAGACACTCCCGATACATACTTCCGCACGAGACTCACTTTTGACACACAAAAGACACGTAAGACGCGGAGTGATGTTGATCGATGCGTCGATGACTGTTGCTCGATACGAAAAGGAAGATGGCCGCACAATGCATGACGGATGTCGAAAATGCGCGTTGAAACGCAACAGAGTCGCTACTTTACAACGTCGCGTTCTCGCGAATACACACTTCTCTGTCTCTCGCTTACCAATAGACCAACGCTACTTCCCGAGACTCGACGTCGCGTATCTGTCCTTCCGATTACCATCGCATTTCTAATTCCCGATTCATAAATTCGACAATCGCCCGATTCTAATACTACTTGAGTGAGACAATGGTAGTAACAAGTACAAAAGAGACGCCGACCCGACACGTCGCGACAAGCACAATTGCATCATGAAGAAATGAGATTACTCTCTAATAATGTACTCACGTTATGTTCCGATGATCGCACATCGCTATTCTCGACGTTCCCGATACATATTTCCGTACGAGATTCACTTTCGACGCACAAAAAGCACGTAAGACACGGAGCAATGTCGAACGATATGTCAACGGTGGTGGCTCGATGTGAAGATAGGCACGCAATTGCTCGCGTACGTTAATAATTCTCGCTATGGGCGTTTATGGCGCTACTAGACGCGCGTGCTCTATACACTCTCTCTCTTTTATTAACAGATTGATGCTACCTGACGAATTTCGACATAATCTGTTCTTCTTTCCCTCCGATTATAGCCGAATTTATAATTCCCATTTAATAAACCCGACGGTCGCCTGATTCTACTACTACTTAAGTGAGACGTCGGTAGTAATAAGTAAACGCCGACGCGACACATCGCGACAAGCACGGTTGCACCATCAAGAAATGAGGAGGTACTCCCTAATAAGGTACTCACGTTACGTCCCGATAATCGCACGTCGCTATTCTCGACATTTCCGATGGTTATTTCTGCATGAGTGACTTTCGACATACAAGGGATGTATAGGCGCGAAGCGATGTCAATCCATGTATGCACAGATACTGCTTTCAGTGTAAAAAGATCGAAGATAGTAGGTGTGTTCGTGTTGCATACACTTTTTACACTTTTAATATAAATGCAAGTTTGATAACACTTTTCACACTCGGAGTGATCACACTCGGTAAGGTGTTTAGAAGTTGTATAATTTTCGTCAAACCTAGTAATGCGTGATGTACACTGGTGGGCGTTCATTGAGTCCTTTTTTGGTGTAGAATAGAATCGATGAGCGCGCCATCTCCAGATTCTCGATGCGTATTTTTCCGGGGTCAGAATTTGGAGCCGAGCATGTCTTTAACTACTGTGATCACTGCTAGCGACAATACGACATGCAGTCGTGGTTATAATATTAATTATAATACTACATTATTCTACTTTTTTTTCTGAAAAAGGACTTAATTAATGCCCGTATTCATAGTCAGGCCTTAGGATCGTGGCACACAGAAAAACTTAAGCAGTAAGACGTAAGCAGTAAGCAAATTGACCAATTACAGTCGTTGATTCTTGGACCGTAAGAAGAATCAATGACTGTGATTGGTCAATTTGCTTGCGACTTATGACTAATAGCTTATTGTAAAATTGGCTTTACGTTTACGTTTTTCTCTGCTTTATTTTACGTTTACAACTACGACGCTTACGTCTCGTTCTCTGTCTTACTTGTAGATCAGTAAAGGCCATCACACACAAAATTCCGTAAAAACTTATATCGTAAGCGTAAGGAAGTCGACCAATCCCAATCGAGTATTCGGCTCTTCGTAACCCCTCCATTATTACGAAGAGCCGAATACTCGATTGGGATTGGTCGATTTCCTTACGCTTACGATTTAAGTTCTTAAGCCCATTCTACAATTGCGTGAACGTGGTTGTAAGTGGTTGTAAGTGATTACGACAACCAATCAGAGTAAAGCAATCAGTGAATAAAAAATTCGGATTGGTTGACTCTTACGTTCATGACTACGCTTACGCAATTGTTGAATGGGCTTTATGGAATTTTGTGTGTGATGGCCTTATGCGAGAATGAGGGTGATGTATAGAGCATAACACGTAACGCCACCACACATTCGTGGCGGGATTTGTCAACATACGCGAGCAATTGCGCGCCTATCTTCAATCTTTTCGCATCGAGCCACCGCTGTTGACGCATCGATCGACATCGCCTCACGTCTCACGCAGCTTTTCTGCGCCGAGAATGTGTCTTATGCAGAAATAAGTATCAGGAATATCGAGAATAGCGATGTGCGATTGTCGGAACATAACGTGAGTACATTATTAGAGAGTAATCTCCTCATTTCTTGATAATGCAATCGTGCTTGTCACGACGTGTCGGGTCGCGTCTCTCTCGCACTTGTTACCACTATCGTCTCACTCAAGTAATACTAGAATCGGACGATTGTCGGATTTATGAATCGAGAATTAAAAATGCGATGAGAGATAATCGGAAAGATAGATATGCAGCGTTGAATCGGAAAGTAGCGTTGAAGTAGCTATTAATAAGCGAGAGACAAGGGAGTATGCACTCCACTCGCAAGATCGTGCCGTTGTGCAGTAACGATTCTGTCGCGTATTTTCGGCATCCGTCATGCATTGCACGGACATCTTCCCTTTTGCATCGAGCAAGAGTCATCGATCAACATCGCTTCGTGTCTTGTGTGTGCCGAAAGTGAGTCTCGTGTGCAAATATGTATCGGGAGTGTCGAGAATAGCGATGTGCGATTGTCGGGACGTAACGTATCTTATTGGGGAGTAATCTCATTTCTTGACCGTGCTTGTCGCGACGTGTCGTGTCGGTGTCACTTGTACTATCACCGTCTCAATTAGTAATAGAATCGGACGATCGTCGGATTTATGAATCGGTGATTAGAAATTCGGCAGTAAGCAGAGAGAAAGAAAAGTAGAGAGATAACGCAGGAATATTCGCGACGAATTTCGAGAGGTAGCATCGGTTTGTTAAGAGAGAGAGAGAAATATGACGCCGCGAGAGCGCGCATCCTTATCGAATCACATGTTTTTGCCTGCATTGTTGGCGTCCGTCATACATCGTGCGAGCATTGTTGATGTTTCTAGATTGAATAGTCGCTGTTAACACATCGATTGATATCGCTCCGCATATTTCGCATGTTTTGTTCGTCGAAAGTGAGTCTCGTACGGAAACAAGTATCGGAAGTGTTGAGATTAGCAATGTGTGTTCATCGAGACGTATTGTAAATACGTTTTTAGTGAATAATCTCCTTGTTTCTCAATATAGTCGGTATCTGTTGTAACGTATCAAGTCAGTATCTCAGGCACTTGTTACCGATTCACTTAAATAATAATAAAATTGAGCGATCGTCGGATTTACTAACAAAAAATTAAATATGCGGTGATAATAGGAGAGACGGATAGATAATGTGCGACAGTGAATTAGATAATATGATACGCTTCGGGAGGTAGTGTTAGTAAGAGACACAGAAGGTACATCATAGATGCCGTAATTATAGGATCGCGATACCGTTCACGTTGTAGCATGCATTTTCGGCGTAGTACGATATCGGTCTTTTTTGCGTCGGGTAGCTACTATTAACACATCGATCGACATCACTCCGCGTTTTACATGTGTTTTTAGTTGTCGAAAGTGTGTCTGGTGCGGGAATAAGTGTCGAGAGTGTTGAGAATAGCGATGTGCGATCGTCAGGACGTAATGTATCTTATTAGGGAATAATATTTTCATTTCCTGGTAACAGGTGCACCTGTACAACAAGTGCTTGTCACGAAGTGTCGAGTCGACATCTCTTACATTTGCCACGGACTCATCTAAGAATAGAATTGGACGATCGTCGGCATTTTCATCGAGAATTAGAAGCGTGACGGTAATCAGAGGGACAGATGGATGAGACGTCGCATATATCAAAGGTACACACGACACCGAATCTTTGTTTCACCGAATTGGTAAGCAATGTCATATATACAAATGTTTCATTTCGACGCTCGTAATTGCATATTTGCGAAAGAAGAGATGCGTAATACCCGTGGAAAATGTTGACGACGAAATTCAGATAAATTGAAATAATGAGGGCGGAGTTTGAAAGTCTTCATTCATTCACGTTTCTTGTGACGTTGGCGGGCATATAAATGAATCGATAAGACCGTTAATTTAAGTTAGTACACGGAGAAAAATAATTTGCTGGCCCAGCAAATTTTCTGCTAGTCTAGCAAAATCTTTTCGTTATTATATAGATTATACAGCAAAGAGATTTGCTAAGAGTACTAATCACTATTTACTGGATATAATTTGCTGAATCTACAAATTATTTTGCTGTAAGAACCATGATGGATTTATATAAGCAGTTGCAGTTTTGCTCTGATAGCAAATAAATTTGCTAAAGATACATTATTTTGCATCGATAGCAAATTAACGTGATTCTTAGGACAAATACACTCAACAAATTTTTTTTATCCTGGCAACAAAACTACTTCTGCTCTGATAGCGAATAATTTGTAAAATTAGTTACGTCAACTTTTTTTATTATCACGAATATGCAGTAGCAACGACGATTTTGCTAAAAGAGCAAAATTATTTTTGTTCGTGTAAGTGATTCATTCGCAGACGCTAAAAAAAATCGCTTTTCAGTGACGGAAAATGTATTATAAGATCATAAGTGCACTCCGATTTTATAACGGGAAGCTCGAACGTAACACGTTTACCGCGTTCCCCATAGTAACGCGCAGCCCTATCATTCGGTGATTAAAGCCATAGTCGTTCTCTAAACAATATTCGATTAACGCGCCGTTGAACTTTGCGTTCGCGCGCGATGCAAAGTGCGCGCTATCAAAGCGACCTCCACTTTCGTAATGCCGGTATCGTCCTACCGCGCTTACCGAGCGCTCTCCGTTTCAATGCGGTGAAAGTGCTCGCGCGAGAGCTCGCGGCAAAAGTCAAGTTGAATGGCATGAGAATCAAGCGTGGCGGCAAACGCGCCAGTAACTCCCATCGCGCGATCATCAATGCCTCGTGTCTCGCGAAGAATCTCCTTTTATTACCGCATTTACAGACAGCAACGCGCGGATCGCGCAGCAAACTGAGAGCACGCTGTGGAATCACGCTCTTCCGCCGTGTTATTTCGCGTGAATGTCGCGTTATAGAATGAGAAGAGCCGCTTTCTTTCGCATTGCAATGATACGACTTTTCTCCCTACTTATTCAACATGTTATAAATGACATGATATAAATGACGATTCTACAAGATACCAATATTAATTGCAAAAATTGTGTTTCAATTGAATAAATTTTTTTTATCGTTACATACACACCGTTAGTCGTTAGTCGATTTTTACGAAGAACAAAAACGCATGTAAAATATCTTTTTGTAACAAGAGGCGTTCGCGCAAAAAAACCGTGGAGTCGTAAATTTTTTAATGACGATTCCCGATATCCGACGCGAGCGTGTGTTTGCATGCGCGCAATATAACGACGAATGAATTCTAACGAAAGCGCGTCGTGCAATTTTTCCCGTTTTCGAATGGCGGGAATCTCGAAGCACGTTTATGATGATGATGCGCCGGCTGGAGCGAATGGCTGCGTGCAGAGAGCGAAGGGACCGAATTAATCAGACGCAGCTGTAAATGAATCGAATTAATTATTGCAATTACGGCAATTAACGAACGCCGACGGCGGCCGTACGTGATTCTCCCGCTAACAAGATATGTCTCCTACACGAGGAGCTTTATAATGCAAAGACCGTGAGGAAATTCCAGATGAGATTCACGGAGATTTCGGCGGGATACTCCGAAAATAGCGGTGTCTATTCTTGCATCTTGCATTAGCTTCCGAAATAGTTACCGTATATCGGAACACGTTAATCCCTTTCACTTGCAGAAACGATTGCCGAAAACGATGAGTGTTAAGTCCGCGCGGAGAACACATCTCTTAATTTTATTTATTTTAGAACACACAAGTGATTTGTAATGTTGAAACGCAATTGTATTTTTTTTAAATTTAATATTGAATTAAAATGCGCTATTAAGAATTTTGCTACGTTTCTTAGCAAGAAAGACCTTATTGACAAGTAAACCTACTCAAAAGTTACACTTCAATTTCTTTCTAATTTGGTATAAATGTAGAAGAAATATTTAGGTTATATTTTTTTCATTTTCGCCCACTTTGAGTTTCACGGGCAGTTTATAGCTTTTTAATGTTCTTTCTTCTATCATCAACAAATACAAAAGTGCATAAGAAATAAAATTGAATATAAAATATAGTTAAATAATTTTAACAAAATCGGCATAGCTGAGACACGAACCATTCTAAATTTCTTTAGCCGAGATTCCAACCAAATTTTTCAAATCTTTGCTAAATTAGTCAAAAATGGTTCGAATCTCGGTCAAACCGAGAAATTATTTGTATAAATAATTTTTTTCAACTTTTTATACGTTTTGTTTAAACATTTTATTATTTATACAAATAATTTTACACATTTGACTTCATATTCATAATCAGCAAACCAAAAATGCCTATGAAATATTTCGGTTAGAATCTCGGTTAAAGAAATTTAGAATGGTTCGTGTCTCAGCTATGCCGATTTTGTCAAACTTATTTAACTATATCTTGTATTCAATTTTATTTCTAATATTGCATTTTTTATTTGTTGTATTTATTGATAGTAGGATTGAGAACATTGAAAAGCTATAAACTGCCTGTGAAACTCAAAGTGGGGCAAAATGAAAAAATATGATCTAAATATTTTTTGTACTTCTACATTTGTGCCAAATTAGAAAGAAATCGGAGTGTAGGTTTACTTGTGAATAAATTTACTTTTGGGTACGTTTACTTGTGAGTCTATTTTTACATTGCTACACTGAGAAGAAAAAGTGGTTGAGATGATGTGACATTACTTGAACGAACAAAATTCGTTCAAGCAAACATTTAGTCGATTGAACGAATTATATTATTTCTACCGTGAGTTATTAATCGATTCAATGATAATTTAGTCAGTAGCCATATCAACGCAATTTATTGTTACACTAACGTGTTACTTATTCAATAAATGCAATATTTATGCGAAAGAACGAGTGACCGTCGATTTTGTCGATTCAATTGATTTTTTCTCAGTGTAGAAAAATATTAAAATTAAGAGCGGAATTTATATGAAGAAATTACAGTATATACTTCTCAAATCTCCGCTTAAAACGCTTGAATAATAATACACGAGAATCCAAAAAAATTTTAGAAGAGAGAGAGAAAAAGGGAAGCGTTAAGCACAAATTATACAAAGGGTATCTCAAGGAATAGATTGACTAAAGACGCGTTTCAACAACGATTCAAACACGCGACGAGATACGAACATCTTTAAACTGGCGAACCGGAGTAAAGTTCATCCCGCCGCACTTGGCAAAATATTGACTCGTCAAATTGATCGGCTACGAAGAGGTCTGCGAATTTATCGGGTCCTGGAAGGAAAACTAATCTAGAGAGCAAGAGATCGTCTTTGACGTCGCGAAATCGTTTTAATCACGCGCAAAGATTCGCAAATCACGGCGGGTCGAAATGACTTCGACGACTTGTTACGAGATTCTCATCAAGTTTTCACATTAAAGCTTATCTCGCTATTTCGTAAGATTTGAAATTAGATTCCGCAGATTCTCTCGATACTCATCACCTACGTAAAAAATGTTTTTACGGGCAAAGAAGATTAGGACATATCAAGAATATTATTTAGAGTTTTACGATCGCATAACGCGGACTTTTCTGATTTTACTCACATTGTAAAAAATCTTGTGTACACAGTACGTAAACACATGTTCCAAAAAGTCCACTTTAAATTTTGTGTCGAAAATAACTCATTTCTATGTTCATTCGTATGTTATTTATATTATGTATAGACTAATACATAATATAAATAACAGACGAATGAACATATGAATGAGTTATTTTCGACACAAAATTTAGAGTGGACTTTTTGCAACATTTGTTTATGTACTGTATACACAAGATTTTTTACAGTGTAATATTTCAGAAATTAGCATATTTAATATTTACATAATAATTATATATACATAAAATATATATATTTAATGTATATATGATAAGTTGAAGCAACGTAATATGACATAGAGATAAAAACGTAACGCAAATTAAGATCTGCACACACTTTCGTTAATGATCAAAAATTTATTGAACATATCGCAAAGATCATATCTAAACAAGCTTCATATATCCCCGTGCGATTAAATCGATCTTATAGTTTCGGGCAAGTATTCGAAATCGAATTGGAGCAAGTGGAAGCTCGAAGTGCTTCTCGCGCAATTCCTTCCCGGGCTCGCGCAGTTTTCTCGACATTTGAAGCCTCGAAAAGTATGTTTTCCCGTCTGTGCGAACCTTTTCCCGTAACCCCCTCCGCACCTCGTCGGTACCCTGGTAAAGTCTCTTAATACACCCGCCACCCCGACTACGGGATAAAGCGATCGCCGAAGTTCGTTAGGAAGTTTAACGGCGGGAGAGTATTGTTTAAAAAAGCAATAGGAAAGTTTCGTTCATTAGCAGCGTGGAAGGCGTCGGAACTGGCTCCCTCGCGGTGGCTAGAGGAGAGCGGGAGTTAGGCGGATAGCTGAGAAAGTAATGTAATTTCTAGCAATTCCTGCTGTGTGCGTGTAGTGCGCGTGCGCGCGCGCGCGTGTGTGTATATATATACTGTATATATATGGGCCCAACTTGTCCTATGGGAAACCATATCCAGTTACATTAAGGGAAAGTCCGCGAGGTCGACAGGGAACTCCCGACGATCGGTTTTCCCTTGATTAATACGACAAACTGGATAGGCCAATCGAACGGCTTATCCAGACTTAGACTTGTCTGCGATCGCAGATGTCTCGCACTTCGGCTAATTGCTCGCGTAATCCTCAGATCGCGAAGAAGACGAGAGATAAGGTAATACTATTATCGCTCTATGATCT